TGGCCCAGCACGATCAGCCATGAATAGTGGGCATTCTTGAGGGCTTCAGAGCCATGTCCCAGCCCCACCTAGAGACCCAGGATTGACCGTGGAATCTTTTGCCTGCAAAACATGCCTTTAGCCCCCAGGCTATTTTCTAAAGAGCTATTTTCATCTGTAGAGCAAAGGGTCTCCAAAAATGTTCTACATTGCCACAGCGACAGAGAAGTCTGCTATCCAAAGGGGGAGGAAACCATCTAAATTCCATTGGGCATACTCAAGGTCTTCAACTAGTGTGGTTAAAAACGGTCCTTCCAGTTTACAACTACAGGAAGTTCCGGGTTAAGAACACCCAGTTTAAGGACGATCCATAGTTAAGAAAAGAGCCTGTTGTAGCAAAATCCGAGTTAAATGCACAATGATTTGAGTTAAATACACAATGGTTCAAGTTCATTACACAATACTACTTATACAGTTCATTACACAATACTACTTATACAGTATTATACAGCAATACTGTTCTGACTAACATACAAATTCGACTTAAGGACAGACCTTGGGAACGGAACTCGTTCTTAAACTGGGGACTCCCTGTATCCCCTTTAAAGCTAGAGGTGTCTGAGGATGCTTGGCCAGATTGAGACACAGAAGCTGCCAATCAATTAGTTAGTTAGTTTGATAGCTTTCTTCAGCAATATGCTACCCAGAGTATAGCCTATCAGGAAACTTTATGTAAAGCAGTATAACCTATCAGGGAGGTTTATACTGTATATATCTGGCTCTCTGGAATCACCAGATTTTTCAAGACCAGCCAGCTTGAAATGCCTGTATTTCTGTACTGTAACCTGTGGGCTTAATGGCATTAGAAATAACCAATCAGTGTGGACCTGCCAGGTCTGAGGTCAGCTGATTCTGACAGATATAGCCTGCTGCCCTCCAACACCGTACATTGGTACAAGCTGAGGACGACACTGACTAGAAGTAGAGAGGGTAGGATCATCTCCTCCCACACTAACATTCATCATGTGCCCTGGGCTTTCCTAAGCAAAAATTGCAGTAATTCGGGGAGCAAATTCACCCATGGCAAGTAAGAAGTGCCTGGGAGAAGCATGAAGCTACCATCACAAATCTACAGCATAAGAACTGTAAGGGTTACAAAGACTGACAGGACCAACAGCATTCACACCATCTCCACCTCTAGACAAATTAGCACACAAGGCAAAAAACAGGCTGTCTATGTAAGTTAAATCTTGATTTAGATCAGGGTTCCCCAAAGTGGTCAATATTGACCCCCAAGGGACTATCCAAAGAGGAGTTGTTGTTGTTCATAGTACTATTAAAGTAGTACTTATTAAATTATTTTCATATAATAAATGTTTGGGCGTCAATGAGCAATCTGAAAACTTCATAAAGGGGTCGATGAGTTCAAGAGTTTGGGGACCCCTGATTTAGATTGTTCCATTCATCCTCTGCTTTTCAAGTTTGCTGAGCATATTAACAGCTGCAAAAATTTTAAGGGGGACAGGTAGGAAACTAGTTGAAGACTGAAGGATATTCCATGCAACAATATTGTTTGTCAACACTGCACCATTTGGGAGAATTTATTTTTTCCACTATAAGAAATACAACTGGATCAGATATTTGAATGCTTTGGATCTGGACTGATTTATTAATGTGTTGCTCTTGGCTTTGGGTGGAAGAGGATCACACAACCATTTGGATATCTTGGACTAAACACCACCTGAAGATCAACTTTGCAGGGAGGCTATTGCCTTCAATCCCTGATAATTGGTTTCCTGGAGCTATCTGTCTAGCCACCATGGAGAGCAGAACGCTGGCTGTGGGGGTCAGTAACTGAAAATGCCAGAGAAAAGGCAACACAGCAACTAACAATAGTGCAGCTAGTTTTTTACATGAAGATCACCTGAAATTTATTTCCTCAAGGATTTGTTCACACACAGAGATCAAAATGTTAGAACCCTGATTGGTTTCCTGCACGGCAACAGAGTTTATTATTTACAAACCCTGATTGGCTTCCCTGCATTGCAACAAAGATTATTTAGGAACCCTGATTGGTTTCCCTGGACTGCCAGGAATGGCAACATGGGGCTTGAGAGCATCTCCCCTGCTACTCATCAGGCTCCCGGCCCTGCCTGGCTTTTAAAAAAGATCTGAAAATATATTCAATAAGAATCCAGCAGGCTGCAAAGCATCATATTTATTTACTGCAACGTCTTTCAACCCCAGGAAGTCCCATTTAGAGTTGGACAGCATGCTAGGGGCTAGTTCACCCTCTGAAAAATGTGTGTTTGGCTCATTATGGCAAACATTTTGGGAATGAGCATATTTCCCATGGCTGCCATTTCTGGGACACACCTACTGCGTGCTCTCAAAATCCCAAATGTATCCTGGTGCCTATCCCAGGATCAGGACTTTAAGACCCTGATTGGTTTTCCTGACTTGAAGCGGGTTGAAAGTTCAAGGTCCAACATAGGGACCAGAACCAACTTAGGGACTGGATCCACTCATTCCTAATGTTTTAGTCTGCAAGGTAAGAAGTGGGAAGTCCAACCTGTACCATATTTGAACAGAAACAGAAGCCTCCAGCTGATCCCTGTTTCTCCTCCATCTTCTGCTAAACCTCCTGAGATAGCAAGCTCTGAATGGGCGTGGTGGAAACAAGGCCCAACAAACTTAAAAGTCCTGCATGAGAAAAATCCCTCTCCAACGCGTCTCTAAGCCCAACCCAGTGAATAAACCCCATTCATTTAGCAAAATGTTTCTCTGATCAATTGTAGCAGGCGGGGGTACGTGTGTGCGTAAGATTTTGCCTAACCCAGAGCGATGCCATCAATGTTCTAAATCTCAGGAGAAGATTTATCCATATCGAGCACATTTCTCCCACCCCACCCCAGATCAAAAGTGTGATGTTTCCACAAACAAAAGCCCAATTTAGCCTACATAATATTTAATTAAGGAAAGCTGGCTGAGCAGAGATTTTTTTTTTAACATTCAAAATGTCCCCTGAGTCATTCTTTCATTTCAAAATCACGAGCAAGACTGTGGGAGTCTGCAGGAAGGACATAATCAGGTGTCTTGTCGTGCTGCTTAGCGTTCCTACGCATCAAGGGTTATAACTAACTCCAGGAGGTATAAAACACCACCTTGAACACATACACACACACACACACACAATTAATCTGCATGACTTAATTCTTCGCATATTCCCATAAACAACCATCAGAGGGGGTTGAGCATTCTTCAGCCCGCCATCCAAACACTTTTATTTGAATTCCACCCAGAAAATGACAGAGGCAGTTGGTTCCCTCTTAAAATGAACTGCCAGGGAATGAAAGCAAAAGTCTTAAAAAGAATTTGAGGTGTTGCTGACCCCAAGGAAGTCAGGACTGGTCCTTCAACTACACAACAGCTACCTTATCTCACACCTGTGTTGTGTGTTTAAGGTGTTTCCTGTTTAGCCTTCTGCTTGTATTCACATATTGGAAAGGGCTAGCACAGAAGAGGGAAAGCACGGGATTGTGAAGCAATGGCACCCAGAAATCCAGGGCTAGGTGGGGCCCTCAAAAGACAGTGATATGCCCCATACCCCAGCAAAAGTTGCCTGTGAATTGCAATTGTTTAACATGATCAATGGAACAATCATATTTGTGCATTTAAAACACGCAGTTTCATTGGAGTTCAACATAGTGACATTTTGTTCTAGAGTCTGCCCCACTGATTTTTGGGGAAACTCGTTCCTTGGCCATTCCATGAAGGCCACATGAAATGCAGTGTCTTCAAAAGGTTCCACATTCTCTGCGCCAGCCCATCAAGGAGGAGTTGGCACATCTCGCTCACCCAATGCAACCGTGGATTGCGTTGGAACCATGATATCAAAATACCTTAACATGGCTAAGGTGTTTTTTTCCTGATCAGTTCTAGCTAATCAAATAAAACTAAAAGAAAATCTCTTCTAACTAAGCAAGAAAAGTCAGTTGGGCATGACATGATTTTGCCAACCTGAGAACTAGTTTTCATGACCTTCCAGGGCCAGGAGAAGAAGATTTACCCTCCAGAAAGGATCGCTCATCCCTGGCACCGGTCATCCCAAAGTTACTCATTGCTTTTGTGAAGGTTGGCCCCCAGACTGATAAAACACCCAGGAGACTGTGGTGTAAACCAGTGTTTCTCAACCTTGGCAACTTTAAGCTGTGTGTACTTCAACTCTCAGAAGACACCTAAGTCTTCATGTAAAGCAATGTTTCTCAACCTTGGCAACTTTAAGCTGTGTGTACTTCAACTCTCAGAAGACACCTAAGTCTTCATGTAAAGCAATGTTTCTCAACCTTGGGCGCAGTTTTT